GTACATTACATTTTTTTTACTTTTATTTTTACTTTTATTTTTTTAATTTAAATTAAAAATTTTTATTTAACTTTAAATTTTTTTAATTTCCTAAATTTAATTCTTTGTGCCTTATATTACCTTTTTTGAATATACGTTTAAATATATTTGAATTAAATAATTATTTAGAGATAAATAATTTATTTTTTATATATATCTATTTATCTAAATATTTTATAAAATATATAATAACTTTACAATGTATATACATTCCAGTTTAAATTAATTACATAAATATTCATGTTATTTAAATATAAAGATGAATAAATATATATATATATATATATATATTTTACTGAATTTATTTTGTTATTGTATATATTATAAACGTTTTAAAATAAAGCAATAATTATACATTTGTATCATTATAAGAAATTTATCTAAATATTATATATTATGTTGTCACTTACTTAGTGCAATTTTTTGATTTGACTACATTTTGATGCTAATATTTTAACCTTTTTTCTCGTATTATCAATATAATTATTTAGCGCAATTTTTTGATTTCACTACTTTTTGATGCTAATATTTTAATTTTTTTCTAGTATTATTAACAAAAATAAAATATAATTTATAAATATAATTTTTGAGAAAATATTTTTGATAATGATTAATTTTTGCAAAGAATTATTTTGGCTATAAACATAATTTTTGAGAAGATTATATTTTTTATTATTATAAAGAACTATTTTTGCTGACGAAAGATATAACTTAGCGCTTTTTTTTACATCTGTGATGTCTTTTTTGTGGGATCATATTATAACATTATAATAATGTTTATTAATTGAAAATTAAATGGTTTATATGCTTTGCAGACTTGGTCAGTGATTGAATTTATCAATATAGAAGGCCAATCAAACGCTGTAGAAGTTGTACCAACCTCATGGATGACATTTACAAATGATCAAATAATGTGTAAATGGCCGGAAAAAAATGTTAGGAAATATATATTACGGAAAGAACCCCCAAAAGACAATTGGCAAAAATACATAGTGCAACTAATATTTCAAAGTAGTAAGTATTGTCATAAAATATTGATAGTATATAATAAGATAATATCTTAATTAAACATGTTTTATATTAAAAAAATGACTTTTTGTATTTAATATATCAAATCATAACTTCCCAATATTTATGAATACGGTTATGGAAAGAACTTATATAAATCATGTAATACAAATGTATGTATATATAGACATATAAATATAATAATAATTTTGTAATTACAGATTCATATAAGGAAGCTATAGATGTTGTACATAAAAAAATTCGAACCGATACATCAGATACATCATGTTCGCAATTAGGCCGAGGGAAAAGAAAAAAGAAAACATTCCAACCAGTTACAGCAAACAACTTAAATGATGACGATTCAAATCCGCGAATGACACCATCTCCGTTAATGACTGTCATGGATTTGCATTTAGAAAATGAACAGTTAACAAATGGTATAACAATAAATAAATATATATATTATTTTTATAAATCTTTAACATTATTTTTTTAACTTGCAAATAAAGTAATGCTTAATAGTGTAATTTTTTATACATTTAGATTTGATTAATGATGATAACCAAAACTTGGACAAGGATATCGAAAATATGGATGAAACAGCAATAAACGTGAGTCAAAATAAAAAGAATAATATTGCCTCTGAAGACCATGTAACTTCTGATGAAGGTATAAACAAATAATTTTTGGTACAATAAGGTATTAAATAATACAAGTCGATTTTAAGTAATCCCGCTAATATATATATAGTGTCTATTAATTTATTAATTTAATATTAAATAAATACAATAATGATACTAAAAATTTCCATTATTTAGATCCTAAAGATGCTGTTAATCCAGTAAATAATATGATACCAACCGATATCATTTTTGAAAATTTTCCAGCAGGTAATCATTCATATTTATTGTTCTTTTGTTTATAGTAATATAATTTGTAAATTTATATTTCAGAATATTGTTTCAATCCTGCAAAACACGATTGCGATTAAAAAATTATTGGAACAACAAAATGCATTTTAAAGCAATTAGAGCGTACAAATAATTCGCTTCCACTGCTCTCAGCATCTGGTTCAAGCTGTAGTAGTACTTTTTCTCTTATTCCGAACAAACCTTTCAAGAAATTTACAAAATTACTTGATTTCGACATCGCATTAAAAACTAATGAGGAAGGACAAAAACAAATGGTAAAATAGTCTACATTTCTTATTTCTTGTTTTTTGAATATTTGAGACAAAATTCAAGGTTCGAGCTGGTAAAATAATGTAAATGGTTAGAAAGAAATTGCTTTCAAAAGCAATTTTGATTGTTCAAGCTTAATTAAACTAGGATTATTTTATAACATTCATTATAATTTCATTGTACCATTGTTGAATATGCCAAAACTACTGATATCTATTTTTAAAAAATATATATTTAACCCTTTTTCCTTCTGACTAACTGACTTTAATTGAAATTAAAATAGACAAAAAGGATGCTCAATATTTACCAGAAAAGGCTCGAACAATTGTATATATATATATATATGTATTTATTAAGAGTTTAACTAGGCTCTGTAATATATAAATATAAATTTAACATATATAAGATAGGCAATAAGAGCCAAATCGCGGATGACAGTGCGTTATTCTAAACGAAACTAAATTTTTTCGTTAGAATTAAATACCTGTGCACAAGGCACCAAATTTTTACTTGGACACGGCCAAGATATAAAATTGGAATAATCTCTACAAGAGATTTTTAATTCCATGTATCCCCTATTCCCCCTAAAGAAATAAAGTGCGAGAGAAAAATATAGATCCGAAAGTCGCAGAATCGGGAATCGAACCCGAGACCTTTCGCTTGCCGGGCGACTGCTCTTCCAACTGAGCTATTCAGATCCTTTCGATTCTATACTTTTCTCTGTTATATATATTAATGTTGGTAAATAAACGCCTTTAAGCCAGCGTGTATAAATTAAGAGTTTAACTAGGCTCTGTAATATATAAATATAAATTTAACATATATAAGATAGGCAATAAGAGCCAAATCGCGGATGACAGTGCGTTATTCTAAACGAAACTAAATTTTTTCGTTAGAATTAAATACCTGTGCACAAGGCACCAAATTTTTACTTGGACACGGCCAAGATATAAAATTGGAATAATCTCTACAAGAGATTTTTAATTCCATGTATCCCCTATTCCCCCTAAAGAAATAAAGTGCGAGAGAAAAATATAGATCCGAAAGTCGCAGAATCGGGAATCGAACCCGAGACCTTTCGCTTGCCGGGCGACTGCTCTTCCAACTGAGCTATTCAGATCCTTTCGATTCTATACTTTTCTCTGTTATATATATTAATGTTGGTAAATAAACGCCTTTAAGCCAGCGTGTATAAATTAAGAGTTTAACTAGGCTCTGTAATATATAAATATAAATTTAACATATATAAGATAGGCAATAAGAGCCAAATCGCGGATGACAGTGCGTTATTCTAAACGAAACTAAATTTTTTCGTTAGAATTAAATACCTGTGCACAAGGCACCAAATTTTTACTTGGACACGGCCAAGATATAAAATTGGAATAATCTCTACAAGAGATTTTTAATTCCATGTATCCCCTATTCCCCCTAAAGAAATAAAGTGCGAGAGAAAAATATAGATCCGAAAGTCGCAGAATCGGGAATCGAACCCGAGACCTTTCGCTTGCCGGGCGACTGCTCTTCAACTGAGCTATTCAGATCCTTTCGATTCTATACTTTTCTCTGTTATATATATTAATGTTGGTAAATAAACGCCTTTAAGCCAGCGTGTATAAATTAAGAGTTTAACTAGGCTCTGTAATATATAAATATAAATTTAACATATATAAGATAGGCAATAAGAGCCAAATCGCGGATGCCAGTGCGTTATTCTAAACGAAACTAAATTTTTCGTTAGAATTAAATACCATAGTCTACAGACTATGACATAGATCGCTACCACGCTGAGCTCGGCGTTGGTCACGTCTGACGTTACGTGCAGCGTTACTTTGCCTCGAGCGGATCCTGAGCGGGTCCCTCCGATGCCGAAGATCGAAAGATCCGTCGAAACTCGAGGAAGGCGAAGGCGTTGTGCCAAGGTCTCTGAAATGATCGACACCTCAGAGCATTGGTCGATCAGAGCGCGTACGGCGTGTGGGGACCCGTACCGATCGGCGATGTTCACTCGAGCTGTTGCCAGAAGAACGGCCTTGTGATCCTGATGTTGCAGAGTCGTGGTCAGTGTGGTGGCGCGTGTGGTGGCCTCAGCTGACAGTGAAGACGTCGGTGCTCCGTGCAACATCGTGTGGTGTCGTGCGTCGCATGTGAGGCAGTTCTTCTTCGACTGGCAGCGAGATAGAAAGTGGTTGCCTAAGCAATTGTAGCAGCGCTTGCTTGTCTCTATGAACGCCTTACGCTCGTTGACTGTCTTGGCCTTGAAGTCTCGGCAGGCCATCAAGGTGTGGTTCTCGCGACACAGTGCACAGTGCGGCGGTTCAGATCCTTGGTGTTTCGTGACGTGTGCCTTGGCGATCCGTGGAGCATCTCCGGACGGTTTGCTGACGCCCTTTGGTCGTGCGGCATTGAGCGTCAGGATCCGCCGACTGATAAAGTCAACGAGTGCCTCGTTCTGTGCTGGCTCTGATGAGTCTGAAATGGACGACTCCCACTCCAGACGTGTGCGTGCATCAAAAAGCTCCGTCACCAGGAAGTTGAAGAGGTCCATCCCGTGGGAGTTTATTGGACGCCCGATGCTCTCCTGACCGTTGACGGTGGCAGTAACGGCGTTGTGGATGCGTCTCAACTCCTCTGCGGTATCTCCCTTCATCTTTGGCACGGCGATGAACGTGGCAAAGTTGGAGCGGATCAATTCTTTTTTATTGTTGTAGTGCTTGTCCAGTATCGCCCAAGCACGCTCATAATTGTCGCTAGTGACGGGTAACGACTTTATTAACCTTCAGCCGGTCCCGTCAGACATGAGCGGAGGTGATGGAAGCGCTCGATGTTGGAGATCGCGTTGCCACTCACGACGGAGAGAAAGAGATCCCGAAACGACGGCCAATCAGCGTAAGCACCAGAGAATGGCGGTACCTTGATGCGCGGCAGTGACGACCGTGGCGTGACGTCGGCAGAAGGAGCTACGTTCGGTGCACGAAAGTGTTCGGCGTAGCCATCAAGTATGCTTCGCTGACTTACATACAGATTTTCTGTATCTGCGTGGAAATCTGATTGGAAATACTCGCTCTCACTGAATTTGTCTTTCAGGGCCGCTCGGATAAGGTCGTGCTGCGTCTCGAACTTTGCCCACAGCTGATCCAGGATTCTGGTGCGTGTGGCGATAGCACTGGTGGTGATGTTGGCGCTGCCCAGCTTCTTCAGGTACTCTACGGAGCGTGAGATTCGGATTTGAATCTCACGCTGACAATTGACCAGCGTGGACACATCCATGACGGCTGCACACCCAGACGTTCACACCTTCACTCACACGAGAAGTCACGCTCGCGAACTTGCGGTTGCCGGTGCGACGTATCCGGCTCGAAGGATCAGAAATATGTTCACGAACGCGCTGCGAGAGAAAAGGATCGCGCTGCACGAAAGGATGAGTCACTTTTTTGTAAAACAAGGACTTTAATAATAGCACACACGTATTGACAAAATACTATAACAAACTTATTACAAACTTTAATTATTTTACAGTGAAATCGGAATCAAAATCAAAGTGCGGAATAGCGGCGGTCGTCAACGAATTTTTGCGGTGTATCTGATAAGCGGTTTGCGATATGTTTCACGACGAAAAGCGATAAAAGCCCTGATTTCGAGTGTGAGCTCTCTTTTATGGGTTTCCGCAAAAACCCACCTTTTCGGAAAGCGCCAATAATTTTGCGTCTTTTTAAAGTTGCGCGAGGTGACCTGAGCGTATTACGCGTAATTGGCCGCTGTCAAAATTGACAGAACAACGGCTGTTAGAAAGCATGCGCGAGCTGGCGATCACGATGATTATTGGCGAAACGAGGCGCCCGTGAGAAGCCGCGCATGCTCAATAAAATATAATTATTCGGCGGAACGGTTGCGACACTGTTAATTGTTTATATTTCGAGCGTGTTTTTGTACGACAGGATAATTTATGTCGCGATATGTTTTCAAAAAAAAAAATATAAAAACGATATGCCTGTTGACTTGCGATCGGAAGCGAATATTCTAGAATATTCTATTTAAGATATAATATTTTATTACATGTAGTTTCTATTATGCGTTTCAAACAATATATTATAAACGTTTTAAAATAAAGCAATAATTATACATTTGTATCATTATAAGAAATTTATCTAAATATTATATATTATGTTGTCACTTACTTAGTGCAACTTTTTGATTTGACTACTTTTTGATGCTAATATTTTAACCTTTTTTCTCGTATTATCAATATAATTATTTAGCGCAATTTTTGATTTCACTACTTTTTGATGCTAATATTTTAATTTTTTTCTAGTATTATTAACAAAAATAAAATATAATTTATAAATATAATTTTTGAGAAAATATTTTTGATAATGATTAATTTTTGCAAAGAATTATTTTGGCTATAAACATAATTTTGAGAAGATTATATTTTTATTATTATAAAGAACTATTTTTGCTGACGAAAGATATAACTTAGCGCTTTTTTTTACATCTGTGATGTCTTTTTTTGTGGGATTTCACATATTTTTGCAAAGATCATTAAACAAAATGCATTAAATAAATGTATATTTTTTTATATTTATAATGAGAGAAGACGAGAGAGAGCAAGAGGACCCAAGAGAGAGAGCGGGAGAGAGCAAGAGGGAGCAAGAGGGAGCAAGAGAGAGCGAGAGAAAGCGGGAGAGAGCAAGAGAGAGCGAGAGAGAGCGAGAGAGAGCGATAGAGAGCGATAGAAAGCGGGAGAGAGCGAGAGAGAGCGATAGAGAGCGATAGAAAGCGGGAGAGAGCGAGAGAGAGCGGAAAAAACGAGAGAGAGCGAAAGAGAACGAGAGAGAGCGGGAGAGAACAAAAGAAGGCGAGAAACAGCGAGAGAAAGCGAGAAAGAGCGAGAAAACCGAGAAAGAGCGAGAGAAGACGAGAGAGAGCAAGAGAACGCGAGAGAGAGCGGGAGAGAGCGAGAAAACGCGAGAGAGAGCGGGAGAGAGCGAGAGAACGCGAGAGAGAGCGGGAGAGAGCGAGAGAACGCGAGAGAGAGCGGGAGAAAGCGAGAGAACGCGAGCGAAAGCGGGAGAGAGCGAAAGAACGCGAGAGAGAGCGAAAGAAAGCGAGAGAGAGCGAGAGTAAGCGAAAAAAACCGAGAAAGAGCGAGAGAAGACGAGAGAGAGCGAGAGAGAGCGAGAGAAAGCGAGAGAAGGCGATAGAGAGCGAGAAAAAGCGATAGAGAGCGGGAGAAAGCGAGAGAGAGCGAAAGAGAGCGAGAGAGAGCGAGAGAGAACGAGAGAGAGCGGGAGAGGACGAGAGAAGGCGAGAAACAGCGAGAGAAAGCGAGAGAGAGCGGGAGAACGCGAGAGAGTGCGGGAGAGAGCGGGAAAGAGCAAGAGAGAGCGAGAGAGAGCGAGAGAGGGCGAGAGAGGGCGAGAGAAAGCGAGAGAACGGGAGAGAACGAGAGAAGGCGAGAAACAGCGTGAGAAAGCGAGAGAGAGCGAAAAAAACCGAGAGAGAGCGAGAGAAGACGAGAGAGAGCGAGAGAACGCGAGAGAGAGCGGCAGAGAGCAAGAGGGAGCGAGAGACAGCGAGAGAGGGCGAGAGAGAGCGAGAGAGAGCGATACAAAGCGGGAGAGAGCGAGAGAAAGCGAAAGAAAGCGAGAGAGAGCGGGAGAGACGAGAGAGAGCGAGAAACAGCGAGAGAAAGCGAAAAAAACGAGAGAGAGTGAGAGAAGACGAGAGGGAGCGAGAGAGAGCGAGAGAGGCCGAGAGAACGCGAGAAAGAGCGGGAGAGAGCGAGAGAGACCGGAAGAAAGCGAGAGAGCGAGAGAGAACGAGAGAAGGCGAGAAACAGCGAGAGAAAGTGAGAAAGAGCGAAAAAAACCGAGAGAGAGCGAGAGACGACGAGAGAGAGCGAGAGAACGCGAGAGAGAGTGGGAGAGAGCGAGAGAACGCGAGAGAGAGCGGCAGAGAGCGAGAGAACGCGAGAGAGCGGTAGAGAGCAAGAGAGAGCGAGAGACAGCGAGAGAAAGCGAGAGAGGGCGAGAGAGAGCGAAAAAAGACGTGGGAAAGCAAGAGAGAAAGGGTGAAAGAGGGGGAGAGAGAGGGGAGAGAGAGGGAGAGAGAGAGAGAGAGAGAGAGTGAGAGAGAGCAAGAATTTATTTTTTGTTTGGTTGCTTAAAAGGTTAAGCAGCTGAGGAAAATGTCACTATACTAGGATGGGTGACCGCGGATAAGGTAAAGCAGCTTCGGACAGAATCACTTTGTCGGGATGGGTGATCGGGACAAGTACGACGCCGTATCTTAAAAAAAAGTGACACCTTTTCGACCAAAAAATAACTTGAAAAATTCATATCTCCGCAACCAATAGAGCTATCAAGTTCCTTAAGGTCTCATTTTACTCGGAAAAAATCGCGCTTTCGATTGATATGGTCATCTTTTGAAAAATATGTTTCCGTTCATGAAATATTTCAAATTTTTTTTTCAAGGTTACGAAAATCGTGTTACGTCCGGTAAAGGATACACAGTAGCGTCCTACGGATAATTTTCGCTATTGTTTCGATATTTTCGCTATCTTTTCGATATCTTTCGATATTTTTTTTTGTTTTTTTGTAGATTGTATTTTAATTTGACGAATAAAAGATATAACTTAGCGAGACGCTACCGCGTCTCCTGATATACTCGTACCTACTAAAAAATACCTAAACTATTATTTGCAATTATATTATATTTTATATTATTCTTGCATATGAATCAATGGCATGATGATAAAACCATCGTCGTAAGGAAATTTCACACATTTCCCTTTAATGTCGTGAATATTGACTGTGTACAAATCATATGACAAATGTTGTGTTTGCTGAATATTAAATAATTCTGAGGAACAAGGTGAACTGAAAAATGGTTTTGATTCAATGAATTTTCTTCCCTTTAAAAAGATTTCTGAAGTCTTGATTTCTTTATAAATACTTTCGACACAAAATACACAATTGTTTTTTAACATAACGCAATTATCTTTATCACATGTGCTTAGTTCAAACTTTTCAATGATTACTGTTTTGTAGAATATAAAATCTTGTTTATGAAATTGATCAGTACATTGCTGACGTAAAATTGGATACGTTTTTTCATTATCATTGTTTTGCATATATTCTTGTTCTTTTAACCTATTACAAATTTGTTGTAAAGGATTTCTTGTAGCTTGAATTGTTTTTTTTATCTCAAATAAATAATTTTCATATTTAAAACAACTGAAAGTGTCAAGTGGACCATGTTGCAAGCAATCTATGGGCAAATGTATAAGGCCATGAACATTATGAGTAATATATTCTTTTCCGTAAAGTATTGCATATTTTTGAACAAAGTATTCGAGTAGTTTCAATGAATAATTATTATAAATTCTGTATAATGCAGGACTGCATAAAATTCGAATAGCGCAGGATAAGGCCATGAAATGTGTGTATATATTTTTGTTTGCAATCTTTTTTAAAACAATTGGTCCGGTGTATAATAAAAATTGCCTTAATTCAGTGGCTTTATAGTATTCAATGTCCTCTAAACTTCTTGGCAAGCGTGGAAAATCTTTCGGCACATAATTCTTCAAAAACAATAATTGATTATTAATATCATTTTTATCAGTCTCGGGTAAACGATGATTTTTTTTCCCTCTTATCCAAAACATAATTAATCTTTTAACTACGCCTAGAAATACAAGATGCATGCCATCGAGAGGAACTTGAGATACGAAACCAATATTTAGCTTTTCGAAAGGACTTGTATCTTTATGGAATTCCTCATCTAATTTATTTCTGATACTGAAATCAGTCCGCAATTGTGCATTTGTTTGTAAAAAAGTCATTCTTCCATTAACAAAGGTCCCTTCTTGAATGCATTTTGTGCAGGCATTATAGCCTGTATGACCTTTAATACATAAAATAAATGATTTTGCAGGAGCATCACAAAGAAGTTTACCAACCTTTACTTTTATTATTTTTTTATTTATGTTAAAACCATTTTGTTCTAAATGTTTGAACTCTGTTATAAACTCAGTTAAAAATTGGTCTACATAGGCTGGTTTCTTGTGTCCGTGATATATCCCAGCCGCAAAAGGTTTTTTAATATTTTTATCAACCAGATTTAGATCTATGGAGATAAGAATAGGCCAGAGTTGACTTTTTGAAGAATTAGATATCGGTAAACCATCAATGTTTATGTTAAGAGGTAATGCTACTATTTCTACATTTTGCATCAAATGTTTTTGCATATTTAAACTATTATTAATT